AAAAGTTATAGAATGACGTCTTGATTGCAGAGCTTTTTTCAGGCATAGCGGGGGGGGGGGGGGGAAGGGGGCTTTTCCCCTCGGGGAAAGTCAAGTGCCCCCCACCCCGAGCCAAAATATGTACAACATTAAAACGAAAAAAAAAAATTCTATTAGAAATAACTACCAAATAGTCATTTTTAAAACAATATTAAAAAGAATAGTAACTGGTGTATTTAACCGATTACAATTAGTGGAATCTATGCACTATTGCTAGGCTCTATATTTTTTAATGAACCGTATATTTAAGGCTAATCTTTTTTAGAATTTTACATTATTCGATTATAAATGTCACAATGTTTGGAAAATTTCCAGCTTCCGATTATGAGCGAATTATTACTTCATGTTGTTAGTCATTGTTAGTATTTATCGGTATTTTTTAATGTAATTGTTCTGGTTTTGGTAGGTTACGTTGCTGAATCCATGTACCGATATATGTGCAATGGTTGTGGATGCGATGTTGGTATTTTAACGGCTCCTAGCCGATGCTAGCGCAGTTTTGAAGCTATCGATTGAATCGAGTTTACGGCGGTATTGTCCAGATGGTTCCAAGCGATGATTTTTCGTGGGAAAAAATTGTTTATCCTGCGCCGTGTTACACGGGGCACAGTAAAGCATTTAATATTGTTCCGGGTGTAATTATCTATGGGGTTGTCAGAGGTGAAGCCTGTGTTTATTGAGCGTTGGGCTCTGATAAAGCGACCTTTCTTCTGTGGGGTGAGGTACGTGTTTGCTGGGATGGCCGGCACTAGACCCATGACCACTTTATATAAGAATATTAGGTGGAGCTTTTCTCGTCTGTCTCTGAGGGAGGGTATGTCAAATATTTTTAAGAGGCCAGTGACGAAGCCAGGAGTGGTGGATTTGTAGTCATGTGCCATGAAGCGCACCGCGTTACGTTGGATTCGCTCCATCTTTTCCACGTCTTGCTTTAGGTGTGGGTCCCAGATGATCGCACCATATTCTAGTAGTGGACGGACGAGTGCAAGATAGCAATTTCGTTTGCAGGAGGTTGGGCAGTGGCGCAGATTTCTTCGAATGAAACCCCATGTGAAATTTGCTTTTTTGAAATCTTGTTTTGATAATTGTGGCTACTCCTGGTTCAGTTATGTCAATGGGGCCTATTGTACCAGATGAAGGTTTTATATATGGTGTGAATGTAATGGAGATTTTGGTGAAGACACATTGAAATAGCCTTAGGATAATTTCTGCTTAGCATTTGACATCGCTTACAAGTTGCCCGTTTTCTAATAGGAAAGTTACGCCAGTGTTGTCTTGCTTCTTGGATTTTATATAGCGCCAGAAGGGTTTTGTGTTGTTGTTTTCGAGGCCTTCTTGAAGGGCTCCATTTATTTTATGCCACTTTCTTATGCTTAGCTTATACGGCAGTGTTTCTGGAACTTTCGGTACGGGATCCATTAGTTGGTAGTTTGGGCTGTCTTCAGCAGTCTTTTTTTTCTCTTCGGCAGCTTCTTAAGCCGAGTGGTCAGTCACGGTAGATTACGTGGATTATTTGCTGTGGCTAAGGAGACAAATTGATCAAATTCTGTTGGATAAAACATATTTTGAAGGTCATCAATAGTGTATCCACATCGTCTCCCTCATTGTATTTTTTTAGGATGTCTAGTTCAGCGGCGTCGAGATCTAGTTTAATCTTGTCTTATTTTGCCTTAACGAACTAGTAAGATTTTCTGGCTTTCTGCTGCCTTATTTGAGATTTGGAGTAGAAGTCAACCACCACTGCGTCATGGTAAGATATGCCTGGGACACACGTGGACTGTTAAACAAGTGTGTGGTCGGACGTGAATCCAGGATGCTGTTTTGACGTGTCGGTGTCTTCTGCTTTTATGTGAGTAGTAAGGATGAAGTTAAGTCGACTAGTGATTGCTGAAAGATATTGTCTTTACCGGTGGAGTGGGCAGTATCCATGTCCAGTCTATATCAGGGCAGTTGAAGGCACCGATTAAGATGATGTCGCGTGGGTGCTTGCCGTTGGTTGTAAGAATGTTGATGGACTTTATATGGCCCCGGGTTGGTTCTTTCCCAGGTTTTATGCCTCTGACCAATGACTCTGTTCCACATACTATGTCGGGCTTGATATATTGGATGATGGCTGCGAGCTCTTGTCTCTTTGGTTCTATGCTTTGGCATTTGATATTTAGAAGGCGGAGGTTTGCATTTTTGGGGTGGTCGGGGATTGAAAGGGAGATTGCAGAATGTCGTTTATGTTCTTGAGAGCTTGTGTGATGCCGTTGGGAGGAATATGGAGGTTGACTGTGATGGTGGGATTTTGGGGTACTAGTTCTATTTGCTCAGGCGATAATATAGATTCTGCATTTGGATTGGTGAGAGAGGAGAGAAGGAGTGTGAGCAGTTCAGATGGTGGCTGTGGAATGTGAAGCTGACGCTGTTGATGCTGTTGAGCGCGTGAACAAGATCATGCAAAGGATGGTTGACTCGTTTCGCAAGCTCACAAGTTTAAAGCTTTAGTAACACTGTAATAAACTACATTTGCTTCAATTTTAAGGTCTATAATTCAAATACAGTTCTCGCTAAGTATCAAACACGTGCAATAGGTTTTCAAATTATATTTTATAATAAAAGGATGACTTTTAAAGTAGAAATGGTGTAAATTATAAATTGTATGATATCCTCATAATTTTTTTTTTAAAATGTACTCGACTTCATTTACGTTAGGCTAGAACAAATGAAACTTTAAAAAAAAAATGATATTAACAAAAAAAAAATTAGAATTTGACGGGGACCATACACATAGTACACGATTAATCAATTTTAAAACGCGAAAGCGTTTGTGTTGTTTTTTAATATGAAATGGCAAAACCAGGTATGTGGACTGCTTGAATAAGAGAACAGGACAAAAAAGGTTAGGACGTTTCGGCATAGAGCCTTCTTCAGCACACAGGACAAATGAAGATATCGCAAAGAACAGAGGACAAGTTAGCCATTCAAGAAATATCGATTGTTGTCGCTGGCTTAAATGTAGCCCTTTAATTATTATTATTTTTTTTTAATTTGCTACTTTTGTAACAAAATTTCCTGAACAGTGAGTATTTAAAAAAATACTTATCCTATATTTATTATATTCCCAACTTCTTTTCCCTTTTTAATAACACAATAATAAAAATCTGCCTTTCGTATTTGCACGCACTTTATAATAATATTTTTTAAAATACATTTTTTTAAGTTGAGAATCCAGAAGAAAACTAAAAAAATGTTTATGTGAAAAAGCATTTCAATATTATGGCGAAATCTTTTTTGGTAGCCTATAATACTCATTTTAGAAAGAATTATTCTTTTACAAACCATCGTTAAAAATAAGTTCTATGTATTTGTTTTAAAAAATGTGTTACCTATATTTTTTTAAATTTTATATGCAGAAAGCTATAATAGTTTGAAATTTCAAAGAATCAGTACAATCAACTAAATTTCGGGATCTTTTATACATTATTTTAAAAGATTTCCTTCAGATAAATCACGCATTAATAAAAACACATTAGCACATTTGATGTCGTTTTTAAACAGCTCATGCTTCTTAATTAAAATTATGCCATTTATATACGAGTTATAAAAATGGCCAGTATTGAAATGCAATACAAACTTTTAGACCTTTCAACAATAAATTTATGTTTCCTCTTTGACGGTGATAAAACTTGAAAATATTTTTTTTTTAATAATTATTACACGTAATTTTTATTTTTTCAATTGCGTACACCTTGTAAAATAATGCAGGGCATGGTTTTCGTGATATAAACCACTTTTGGGACTTGAAAATGATTTATGCTTGCACATAAATTAGCATATTTCAGAATTTTGGAAATTAAATCATCATGAGCTGCGTCTTCAATGTTCAGAAAATTTGTCCTGGTAGGCATGTTCATTTCAGATGATAAGATGACATTATTTGCATTGCATTTGAGAATAGAGGATTGAAAATCAAATCAGTTTTATGCAGTTTTTTTTTGGGGGGGGGGGGGGGGGGGGGGGGGGGTTTTTTATTTTTTTTTTTTTTTTTTATTTTTTTTTTTTTTTTGTGGTGACCTATTAACTCATTATGTCTTAATCACGTGATGACTTTGCTTAATTTTTAAACCGAGCCTATCTGAGTGTTTACTGTACCTTATATTTTTGTACTCTAAAATGGGTTACCGGAAATTCGTTTGAAATAAGTTTCGTCAACGGAAAATTGATAGACGGAAGTTTGGTCGAATTTTTTTTCAGTTCAAATGATCACATTTTCGTTAGATTTCTTTTCGAACGCACTGTACTATGTAGTAAAAGAAAACAATGTGTTCAAAATAAAATTTGACGAAAATTTGATCGTGCTCACTGAAGAAAAATAAATTCAACCAAATTTCCGTCGGGGGAAATTTCTTTCAAACAAACTTCCGGATACGTTTAAATCCATGTACTTGAGCACATATTTTTACGTTGTTCTCTCTTCTTTCATTAGCATATTTATTTCTGCGTTTACCGAAACATATTAAATCTTTTTTCCCTTTTACTTTTAGTAACAGTAACACATTCATTTATTTAATAATTCTGTGTTGGGGTGGGGTGGGGCAGCATTTAGCAATACATTTCATTCAGCTCAAGAAACATTCAGTCCAAATTAGCAATATAAATATTTATAATGTTTAATAAATATTTATTCATGCCCATAAGATGAACTGAAAATAAAACTGTACACTCTGTACAGTCATTTAAAATATGATTTGTTGGTAAGGGGGACAAATCAATTAAAGTCATAATGGGGCATAATGTGTTTGAAAAGAAAGTTAAGGAATAATGAAAAATATTCAACAGCAAAGACAATTCCTTTATGAGCAAAAATTAAAGTAATACAATTTTTTATGCTACCTATAAATATTTAATGACTTAGCTAATAACAAAATAACATGGTGAAAAAAGTATTAATCAAATGTTTTTTTGTTTTTTTTTTAGCTTTTAATTAGTTTATGTTCATTTTATTAATACACATATATTTGCTTGTGAAATATACCTTTAAAATATATCATGAAATTAATAAAAATTAAACATGCATAAATAATTTTAAATATAAAAGCCATAAAGAGATAACTCGGGTTTCATTTTGTTTAACTCAAGACTTATTCAACATTTTCTACACACAAAGGCAACAACAAGAGGTGACACACGTCTGACTTTGGATGTTCAAGGGGAAAAAAGAAAGTGAGAGAAAGAGAGAGTGAACCAAAGAGAGGGAGAGAAAGCAAGGAAGAAAGATTTGTTGATTGCTCTATTCAAGCTTTCATATACCATGTTCTTAATCTATCATACTTTTTTTTGTGACATGAGTGGATCAGTGGCATACTTAATTTACCCAGGTTAAAACGATGGGGATGTTAATTTGACTCATACATCGAGACTTCCTAATAACATGTTTTCAATATGAACAAAGTTGTTGATTGTGCATGGCAAGATGGGAAGCCTTAACATGTCGGGGTAGTTTCAAAGTTTCGAGTCTTACCTGAACTGAAAGATTTGCATTAAGACTATATCCTGGCTAAAAGTGTGCAGTGGACAACTGAAATTTTTCACAACTTCGTCAAGCACAATTTTTTCCTGGTTTTTGTCATGTCAATGTATTTTTAAAAAATAATACATTTTTCTCAGCTCATGGGCACACAGAGCCATGCTAACCATTCCAAAACCCACTGTAGCCGAATCCGTCGGCATTGGTCCCACTGTGAGTGTGGTATGCCATGTGGTTTATCCTGCTTAGCATAACAACTGGTGCTCCTTCAGAACCGGGGCACGTGCTTGCTGTATATGTATAGTGTGTAAGGTCTGCACCCAATTCTCTCTTTTCTCTCCTTTCTCGCCACTCTCCAACTGTCACCTGCTTTGTACAACCGTGTGGATGGGAGACAATTATGGCTAATATTGGCTCCTCTTCTCTGCCTATATATTTTTCAACCAAGCTGCTTCGACATATTTCCGCTTGTCTCAACAAAGACGAAACGTTGTCTAATATTTCTGGATCACACGTAGCACATTTTATAACGCACCTGTCTGTCTCTATGTTCGCCTCCTCAACTGAAAAGTCTTCAAGTAGATTCTTTTTAAAAGGTGAATTTATTTCATCATAGAAAATCCTACAGGTTGTTCTTCGAGCCTCTTGGTTGTCAAATACGACTTTCGTTGCTGTAACTACCCATATTTCCCCCCAGTGATTGCTGGGCGTGTCAGCCTTTTTACACTGGGTACATATACAACATGTATCTCTCTTCCTATCTATACGATAAACGTACCCAGTCCCTGTCCTCGTAGCAATGCTTCCTCTCCTGTCAGAGAATGGGTATGGTCCATAAGTATCTGCAGTAAAGTTTGGTCTTTCGAAACTGACATTTTGTACGCACACGCGAACGGTGATATTCGCCACTGCTTTCACCAGCTCTACAGCGTCATTGTCATGGTAACCAAGGGGGAGATGATTGATGTTGAAGTATTTAATGGGCACAAATAGTCTGTGTCCAGGATTTGTGTCACAAGCTGTTTAAAAGATTAGAGAAAACAGCGCGGATAAAAAAAATTAGGATCACGTGTTTGCTAATTTTTGCTTTAAATTAGAATAAAGTTAAAAGCTTAAGAGGATGTAATTCTTTTTTAAAAAATAAAAATTTAAAAAAATAAATAAAAATAAATTTTGACTAGACATTTAAAAAAAAAAAAATAATCATTTAAAACTTCAAAAATATTTCAAATATTTTGACCTGTGGATAAATGCTTCGCCGAAAAAAGTTGATATTTTAGAAAATCGCACACCTTTGAGAAGAATGAATAATAAATGAAATCTTTCTTTGTTAAGTTTACTGAATTCGTTACCGTCTTTCAAAACAGCATCAACCATTAAGAAATATGGTTGTATTCATAATTTTAAAACTGTTTTTATTTATATTTATAATATCGCTCCTTCCTGATTTCAAATTACGTCAGTTTTTAGTACCGGTACATTAAGATAAACAAAGTATTAGGAACTTAATTAGGTGATATAAGTTTAAGTATGGGGAGGAATGGTAACAGGAAATTTGTTTAAAAGAAATATCGTCATCGGAAAATTGATCGACGGAAGTTTGATCGAACGGAAGTTGGGCCTTTTTTTTTTTTCACTTCACGCGATCAAATTTTGAGTCAAATTTCTTTTTGAACACTTTCTTTTGTTTTACAGTATAGTATAGTGGTGTTCAAAAAGAAATTTGACGAAAATTTGATCGTGTGAACTGAATAAAAAGATTCGAAGAAATTTCCATTCGATCAATCTTCCGTTGATCAATTTCCCGTCGAAAAAATTTCCTTTCAAAATAATTTCCCGATGCGGGGAGGTATATTTTTTCATTGAAACCTTCTGTGATTACTATGTGTATACATGGCTGGTAATATATACTCAACGACTGAGTTTCTTGCATTATATACATGTACAATCAAATATCTATAAAAAAAATTCTCAACTCGAGAATATGAAAGAAGCAATGAGATTACATTGAAATTGAAAATGATCGTAGCTCTGATTCATCAAAAAGGAATTTTGAATCCTTAACAGCGGATCAGTAGACAGTATATAGTGACAAAATATGAACATATCATTCAGAAACACTATGATAAAAAAAAACATTCCTTTAACCGACATATTTACTAATTTATCCTTCGCTGAAGCATGGCATAACCATTAAAAGTATTTATATCGCTTTTTTAAACATAAATTGTGCAATGAAAGCATAATTGATACTTTCAATATAAAATTGATAAAAAAGAAAACTATGATAGGATCTTTCAATGAAAATTAAGTGCCGTGTTGATTAAAACAAGCATACATACATACATTTATTATATTTGATCAGTTCAGTCAGACTCATGCTGTGATTATCCGTGCTTGTATCGTCTGATTTCAAAGAAGCTGTAAGTATTAGAAAATGCACAATGTCAGAGCAAACACATATTGAGAATAAAATCAACAGCTTTTTCCACCAGTTTTAAATTAAATAATTTTTGCAGTTTTGATAAAAATGATTTTAACGGTTTTAAATTCTTTTTAAACACCTTAAAAATCTGCTTGAGGTCAATAATACTTCACTAGTATTAGCGTGTCAATATATCGGTGATATTTCAATCTACTGATACATTTATTCATCCGTCATCCGATTTTTTTTTCCATTTATTTATGATTACATTAAGATATGAAGTTTCACACTTTGCTTGTTAATTTGAGTCACTAAACACATTTCTAAGCCACTTTGAAAATTCTGCAGTAGCTTTCAATATCATGTAAAATTTCCTAATTTTTCAGGCAGAGGGACATATTCCAAAAGTTTTCTTAACAGAACATAATTAGATAACCTCAGTTTAAAAAATCCAAATGAAACGATGTAAAGTAGTCATTGACAGTGATATTTATTTTTAATATATATTTAATCATTTTTTTTTTAAATTTGTGCCTTTAATCTTAAGAACTGTAAATCATACAATATTAATTATAAGAAGCATTAATTATTGAATTTTTTTTTTAAAACTTTTTTGTTTAAAGTTTGAATCTACATTTTCTAAAATATTGTGTTCATTTAATATTCTTTTTTTTTTAAGTTTCACTGACTGCTATTGTAAACTTGAGGAGAAACATTTGGGAATGGAGATATGCCAAATAAAAATTGCTAAGCGTAGTCCACATTCTTTTTTTTTTTAAATATTTAAATAGGTGGAAAACTATTTCATAAAGCTAAATTATTCATTGAATAATTAATAATAGAAAATTACATACCCACAAATGGATGATTTCCTAGGAGTTGGGAGGCGTTTGGTCTCTGAGCTGAATTTTTTTCAAGTGTTACTCGTAAAAAATCCTCCCTATGTTTTGAGCCTTTTGTTTTAAGGTTATAAGCCGGTGAAGGGTTTGGGCTCATTAGCCGTACAATTACTAGGTGTGTCTCTCGGAGATCATTGAAAGGTGGAGCTCGATTTATCATTTGAATAAGCGTGCATGCTACTGCCCTTAAAGAATAAATATTTTTTTTTAAAATACACACATATTATAAATAATCATTTATTCGAATAGATTTTCAAAGTTTTCTGTAGATCAGTTATTTCTATAGTTTAATTTATAAGAATAATGAGTTGATGATTTCAAAATGCTTTCTCCATTTTTGGCGTTTTAAGACATTCGACCTTTTCTGCTACACAAAGATGGCTCAAATTTTCGGAAAAGTAATTGTTAATTTAGGTATATATTCAAAATATAAGTTAGATTATGGTGAAAATTGAAATGTAGGTTAATTAAAATGTATTTATTTACTTGGTTCAATTTCCTATTTTGTTTCAAAATGCTGTGTATCCAACTATTACTTAAAAGCTGTATATCCATTTTGACAGCTTAACACGATTCCAAGTAGCAAATAATTTAGTTTGTTATAGATTACAAACCACTTACATAGCAACATAAAATAAAATTGTGTCATATACATTATATAATTGTGTATGGTTAATATTTTTTATTGATTTATTTTAACAGAACAGTATTATACATGCTGGAAAGACCCCTGTAATAGGGTAACGTTTAGAGTGTTATAATTCTGCATGATTTGTTTTCATAAATCTGAATTCTACAAAAAAACCTAAACAAGATAATGTTTAATTCACAAATCATTTTATTTGAATTTAGAAAAAGAACAAAATAGAGCATAATGAAGTGTCTGATTTAGAGTGTGCATCATCGTCAATAGCAGTTTGGTTTTGTTCAAAGAAAAGTTGATGCTCCTTTTTTACGTTCAAATTAGTGGGCAAATTTTTCTGTCCTTGAGCACCGTTTCTTCTGTAATGGCTGGCTCTGCATGTGAAAGATTGGATGTATAATAAATAACACAGCTAACTCTGTAAAGCAACATTTTAGTTTCATTTCCTTAACACTTCTGATGTCCAGTAACCATTAGATTTACCATGTTAATGTAAAATGAACGTTAGTGGTTTTGTAATAAAGTTACCGGTAACTCACCTGTCAGAAACCTTTATCGTGATCACACGTAACGAAGGGTATATTTCCTCCACTTGATTGACGAAATGATTTTTTTTTTTTTCGTGTTGAGCTTTTCTTTCTTTTTATTTCCAAGATTTTATAGTACAAACAACACTTTCATCCAGGCCGTCGTTAACCACCATGTTTGTTGTTATTTCGCTTCGTGATGTTTAGTGCGCATGCGCAGAATGCCGCAGTATCAGCTTGCCAATCTCACGGATTGGTCCGAAAATATATACAGCATTTTGATAATAATAAAAAAAAAAAAATCACACCTCGTTTTGAAAATAAAATCATTTTTAGACATGGAATAATATAGGATTAAAATGCGTTTTTTTTAGATAAACTTTAACATGCCCCAAAGGAGCCTGGTTTGCTCTACAAGACTGTACAGTTATCTCATTTTTTTTTTCGAAAATGTCGGATACTGCGTTTTGAAAATCGACTCTTCGTTCTAGTCAAGAACTCAAAAGAGAATTAAAAAAGGGGTGAGGGTGGGAAATGAGACAGAGATAAAGAGCGTGAGATCGGGATAATTAAATGATATATTAGAAGAGTAGAATATAGATTTTATGGCATCATGATTTTCAAATATTTTATCTAAATGAAATAGTTTTTATTATTATCAACAATATTTTGAAATACGATTTTGTAGCTACATAATGTTAGCATTAGAACTGTATGTTATAAGTATTGCATTTTTTTCCAATACATAATATAAAAATAAATATTTAACCTTTTGTTTGTTTATTTTTCATTTATTAAAGAGGTTTTAAGGTAATAATACCAAATTTGCTTGGTTAAAAAAGTAGAGGGAAAACAAAAACAACAACAAAAAAAGTATATACCAAATATCTACCAAAACGCCATAACGCTGTGGTATAAACATTTCTGGTGCCATCCAGCGTACTGTTCCCGCATTTGCCGTTGTCGCCATGGATGTTTCCTCTAAAGTCTTAGAGACACCAAAGTCAGCAAGTTTTATAATAAACTTTTCTTCAAGTAAAACATTGGCCCCTGAGAATGAGTAAATACGTTTCTTTAAAATATACACCGCCTTTTAGAATAGATAAATGAGTTGCTTAAATGATTTGAACATACATAGTATAAGAGTCAACCAATTAAAATAAAGCTCAGAAAGAAACTGACAATCGTCAGAACTTATAGGAGATCTCCATAATACGTCTAAGAACATAATGTGTTACATTATCTCCAAGGCACTCACACATGCTTGTTATTTTTTAGATTAATTAGGCACAAACAATTGGTCTAAATAAACAATCTATGTTCAGCTTTAATGATGATTTTTACAAAATACAAATGTAAACGTTTCGGCCAAGGGCCTCATCAGTACCAAAAACCAAACATTTAAATAAGTATAAATTAAATGTACATAATATATTTGCACGCGTCCTACCTAAAAAATAGATACAATAAGTTAAGAGGAACAGAAAGGAAATGAGTGTATGTAAAAAAGCCAAACAGGAAAAAGGGATTGCAGCAACGTAAAATTGTAGATTAGGGTTTGTACCGCATAGTGTCAACGTACCAAATCTTGTTATTAGTTTATTTTTTCATATAAATCCTATGAGGTGCATTACTTGTATACAGTATACCAGTAACTTCCATTCCATCATGCTATTGAAATGTTTGGAAACTGGACAATGGGTTTGTTTATTTATGTTATATTTATAAGGGTGTTATTTTCTATAGCTCATTGAGATATGGAAATAAAAATTAGCTTGCTTAATTTTTGTGATTTTTCAAATTATATTATTTTAATGTAAAAAGTAAAACGCTTACTTTGTAGTAAAATGTTTTAAATACTGAAATTTAAATGATGTATATATCAGCTATGCTCGTCCAACCTTTTATATCTCTGTGAATTATTTTTTTACAATGTAAGTATTGCAATCCTTCTAGAATCTGTTTTGTAATATCCTGCATCTCTGATTCGGTAAGATCAGGATTGCTCTCCAAAATTAAATAATCGTCAAGGGAACCCTTTTAAAGAAAAATTATGTATATTTATATATATAATCATATAATAATCATTAAAATATTTATAATGAGTCAAAATGCTTCAACCATTCAATTAAAAAAAAAAAAAAATTATAACAATTTTTTTTAAGGTCTTATTGATATAAATTTGGAATTAATTAATTGTGTTTCTTTCGTTATATGATAATTAGAGGCTTATTGGAAAAATACAGAATACATTAATAAAGTCTGAGCATAGAAACTATACCATTGGAATTCTCTCAATAAATAAGGAAAGCGTGTTCTGGGTCTTGCAAAATCCATGATATGGGACGATTCTCTCGTGACGAAACGAAGCTAGTAACTTTATTTCGACTTCAAAGGATTTCTTTACACAATTGAAACAAAAATAATGAAAAAATAAATAAACAAACAATATTAATATAGAAAATAATTTCTGTCTCCCTGTTGTATAGGTCAAGAAGAGAATATCTGGTGTCAAAGCAAATTATTTGTAGAAAAGTATAAAGTGAAAAATATTCCTGTAATAATGGTCTTTGACAATGAGATTAGCTGAGAGCTTCATTTAGCAAAGGCTTATTTTCATAGACGCCTTCAATTAACCCATAGGCTGATATATTCTGGTAAAATCATTAATAAACTGTAATGAATGAAAACATATATTTTAATGATGCGATATTATTTTATTATATTTCTAACCTATATTTTTCGATAATTTTTTTTTTCTAAAATTTTTTAAAGCTACAGTTTAGGACCTGTAACAACATATCAGAAATTATTTTGGCCTCTGAAACCATTGCATTTGTATTTACATAGAATATCAAAGTGATTTTTTTTGAAATTACTTTGATAAACACATCGTCATATCAACAAAATTTAGCTGAAAAGAATGTGAGCCTACATATATATGATATCACCAAATTGACCACATTTAATAATAAACACATTACCATGGTGTTCTCATTTCCGTACGACGTTAACGACACCTGTTTAGCAACAAGTTCCTTATTGAGCATCTTGTCGACTGCAGTCATAAGATAGACTTTCCCAAACCCACCACTACCAATGCAGTCCCCTATCCTACAGTTGGTTGGTGGTGTCACTCCATCTGGTGGACATCAGGCATGAAATGAGATACGACTTTATAAATAGGTAGTACGAAATATGTGTTTATTGTTTTCACTTTTTTTGTAATTTAAAAAAAAAAATTGATTCACAAAAGTAAATTGTAAATACATTTTTTTAAATGACTGCCCATGTCATATTAACCGATTAGTTGTTGATGCCATTTGTAATAGAAATGAATGACGCATACGCTCCTGTGTTCGGTGTAACAACTAAACTTTATTCTATATTTTCCTTTTTATACCTCTATATTCATGATCCCTCATTACACTTTTCCATGCATTTAAGTTTAAAACATTCATGAATAAAAACAACACACAACGTCCAGTCATACCACATAACAACAACACAGGCCAATCAGGTCACCAACTTCACTCACTACTCACAATAATAATCGCCAGCCATACTGTCACAGCCATCTCTCTATACATAAGTAAGAGAATAAATGCACAACTTAGCCTGGTAGGTGTGGAACAAACACAGAAAATGAAGCATTTAAAAAAAAAATGAGGATAAGGTTAAAAGTTCCGAGTCTGTTTCGTCTTTCTTAAGGTTGCCCCGTACCTTGTTTTTATATTTCTTATTAATACTTCAACCTTACTGAAGTCCTACACGCTACGTAAATTCCAGTTTAAATATTTAGAGATAAGGCATTTTGATGTGTATTTGGGGGTGGGGTAAGGGTAATAGTTTGTCATGCATTAAGAATTAAGATTGGCAGATTGATAAAACAATAAATATAAAATGTATTGGTTAATGGTTGAATGAATGATTGGTGCATGAATGAATAATAGATATTGGATTGGTGCAGGAGTACATGCTGCAAAAATAAATACACTTTTTGTGTGTGGAGTAATTGTTGTAATGATTTAAGATTTATTTGTTCTTATAAGCAGGACCATATTATGGCGCATAATTGAAGGAATCAATCGTGTTTAAACGTTGGAACTTATGTTTCATGATCGTCTCATTTGTCTTTAAATGCTGGACCTTGTGGTGCATGGATTGACTATTGATTTTTTGTAAATATTCTTCACTACCAAAATTTTGCGGATGAAAGAGATTTTTGTTTTAAATCTCGTAAAGAAACCGACAGTAGTTTGGTGGGACATAGTTCTCGTAACTATTCGTGACCGTTCTACTGCAATTTAGTGTCTCTGTGTCGTTACTCATCACAAAACCATTCAGTCGTACTCTGAACATTTCCCAGCGCATACCTGCAAAACGCACGTTTATAATGGAGTATACGCAATGGTAATAATGATACTTTTTATAGATGCTTCACTAAAGTTACTTAATGACAAAAAACCACCCCCAGTATCCTGGTTTTATCCAAAAATCTTAAAATGTAGCATACGATAAGATAAGATACGATAAGATAAGATACGATAAGATAAGATGTTTTCATATTTTCAAACCTCCGTAAAAGACTATGGCGAAATTAAATTGTTGGTCGCTCTCGCCATGAGTTTCTGAGGCCATCTTGGTTTGTGCAACGCCTTGTGCGAAACTCGACGCCCTTAAACGTCTGCAAAGTAAAGTGTTAAAAAAATTAATTACATAAAATAATATGAAGCAAACACACAAATGGATTAATATTAATGTTAAAAAATAACATTCAGAAAATTCAGACACTTAATTTGTATCTTTTAACATGTTCATTTTTCTTGTACATGTCAGTGTCAGGTCATGTTCGAACAGAGTAACTATGACACTACTAACAACCTTTTAAGAACAATGCATATCTAATTGATTCATTTATTAGCTTCAAGCAATTACTGGTCGATCACCTATTATACTACCTTTATAAGTTTTTAGTTTTACCAACACGTCACGCAGGCTGTTGATCATACCAATAAATACGTTTTGTAATGTTCCATTTGACACATCACCTTGGATATTCCCAGAAATATTTTCGTCATGGCAAGCGTAATCAACTGGCCACTTTTTCATGCGCCCTGTCCTGTTAACCTGTTTTACTGGTTTAGGGTAAATCCCGCAAAAAACTTGTACGGTATGTATTAATTGCACAACCCAAAGAAACGAGTACGTAAGACATTTGTTTTGCAAGATTACTATATTCTGGAATGAACAATCTCATCTCAACGTGAAATAAAAGAACTCCCTTCAAAGAAAAAAAAAATTGAAAATATTAAAAATTGCCTAGACAATAATTGATGAAGTTAGCTGTTAGAAACGGAGGAGACTTATGGGGATGGTGTGGTTTTGCGAGGCATGGATTAAAAAATAACAACCTAGGCGGTTATGATGCTGGTTCATCTCATGGATCCTTAATTTCTTTACATTTAAAAAAAAAATAAAAGTTCAATTTATAACAAAATTGTTAACTAAATATTTTGACAGAGTGCTTTAAAAATGTAAGTGTATAAGGTTATTGACGATATGCATTGTTTAGTGGCGGTGATGGTGAGTATATTGGGATAAAACATTAGGCACAAGTGGATGATGTTTACAGTGAAAGATGCAGAATAAGGAAGGAGGAGGGCGAATAAATAAAACCCGACAATGCATGGGCGCCCTGTGATGATCTGGAGCTTGACTTTATAAAATTTCTTTCCCCTCAACTACGCCTTTGAATACCCTGTAATATAATACCATTCCCTCACCTATGTTTTGCCCCGCAGTCGCTTAGCACGAGTCAGTTCCCCTGTGTTATCGCATTCCTCCCTCAGTTCGCACACCTCCAGAGAGTGCAATTTGCGGTCAACCCATCCCACCGAAGAACCTTGAAGAAATGTATACCGTCACCCCCCTCATTTCTGCCCTGGAGACAGCAAAGCGGAGTAGCGCCCCTTCGTTGTTATTGCATTTCTGAACCAGATTACTCACGCAAAAGCGTGAATTTGGATTTTCACCTCGCCCCGAAAAACCTTGAGGGTAGGACGTCAAACCCGCTACATCGAAAGTGATTGTCATTGGATGGAAAAACGTACACCATTTAAATCACCCAATTGAATCATCACCTAATCGCCACCCAACTCGAATAAATAGCCTGAACAAGCAACAATCTGTCTTTTATGATCATGCTCACTTGACCGTGAACGCCTGAAGGATCTGGACTTAGAACTTCTCTAGCGTGATACATAACTGCCACCTGGGAGTTAGCAAGTACACGTCTTTTAAGATCTGATCACTCAATTGTGAACGCTTGAAGTAACTGGACTTAGAACTTCACTAGCGAGATACTTAACAGCGACTGCTACCTAGAGTACTAGTAAGTACGAAACAATGATTTTGATATCATGTTATTGCCCATGTATTTATTATTCGTTCGTGTTTGAGCTTATTCTAATAATGCCTATATTCATCTGTATTGATATTATGAATTCTATTATTGATTTTGCCGCGTGCTACGACCCGCCGCCATTCCATCATGGGAATGGTAGGTGTTGCTCTAAAGTGCAAATGTCTCTTTTAAAAAGAAGACAATATGAATATCATATACCTATAATTTTAATGATTGTTAATGCTACCATGTCCCATACTTTATTAATTGAAATGTTTGCTTAGTCCAAAATTGTCGCGAAGCAAGCTCTGCTTACGCCGACAATGATCAGACTTATAATTCCATCCACAATTTGGATGTATATGCACGAGCTATGTCACCTTCCATACATCGATCTGAATTCGTTGCTAGTGGAACAGGACTTATCAGCTTATGGCTATTCGCTTGGATACTTATCCAATTTTGTATCATTTTGCCTTTAGCCTGGTTTCTATTACGGGACCGACTTTCCTTGACCTGGCGCTAGGGGATTGTTCTACATTCTACACCAAACTATCTGTCAGCTACCAAAAGGACTTCGAGTTCCAGGGACTTTCACTACCACGATTCATCGCGGGAGAGTCATTTTCCCCATCGCAGACATTCCACGGAATCTACGACCGGGAACTCCGACTTCGCGACGCCTAGAACAGCTCCGAAGGCCGGAACAGGGACACGCTCCTAGAACTGAAGGAACTGCCTTACTGTGTGATCCACCGAGATCATCACTAGGACTATAAAGGATAAGTCCACCAAGATTGAGCATAGAACTTGAGCAAATTTAGCATTTTTATGATGATATCGCCTGTATGTTAGGGACACTTGCTTTGCAGTAATATACATTTCTAATTGGGATAAAATCCGTTTGATGATTATATGTTAAGCACCAGGAGTGTGTAAAGGAGGATTTTGTAAATATTATTATTCAATAAATACTCATAGTTA